TGGGAATGATCCTCTCTGTGAAGATCCATTTGCTCTTTTGAGCTACTGCTTCCATAGGTTTATGTCAAGTTCATCAAATTATTCTTTTTCCCCCTCTTCTTTCTTCTTCTGGTTGAGCTCTGATCATCCAGCCATTGAAGCCAGGTCAACAAGTGGGTATTATCTGTAAGTGTGGGTGTACTTATGCATGTGCTCTCTCTTCTTATCAGCTGGACGCTTCACTCTCTACTCTAGTGCTCTGTGGCTATGTCCCTGACTCTGGGTCCAAGAGTCACCTGGACTTGGCATACTGCTGGCAAACCAGGTCTCCATCCGGGTTCACAGGAGTCTATTGAGCATTGTAGGGCTTGGCTTGCAGCTTCATTGCAGGTTTTTCCTTCACTTCCCCTTATCAGTGATGAACCTGGTCACCAATCAGAGCGTGTATTCCTACTGAGTCTTAGTCTTAGAAGGGGGTTTGCCCTGAGGGGGACCCGACCACTTGCCTTGATGTCTCCTGGGTGAGCCACTTGTTTGTTGTTGTAGTAATCAGTTGGCCTGCCTATATTGTTTTGTATTTTTCCTGTCAGTCTTTCTTTCAGGAAGTATCTTCTGTTCTTCTGGCCACTCCAGGCTCTTAATAACAGGACTTGATGGCACTTAACAAGTGGAAATTTCCCCTCAGAAGATTCTGAATGCTGTTCAGGATTCTACCTATGTTCTTGTGTAATACAGAAGTCTCCTTTGTTGGGCACGCTGCATCCCCATTTTAGGTATTCCAATCAGTTATAGACAGAAGATGGACTTACAAGCTTTCTATGGTGGTATTTCTGGCTATTCCTTTCTCTCCCCCTCAAGTTTCTATTTTATAGCAGTATGCCAATGAAACCAAGACTCAACAGATAGCCAATCATCTTAACATAATTTCCCCCCTTTTCCCCATTCAAACCATGTCTCAAACTCTGTATCCCAGTGCCCTGTTGTTCCAAGGTTTTGCATACATCATTATTTGCCTCTGTCCCACTTCAGCTTCACATTCATCCTATCGTATTTCATTTCATTGCAATGATTAAAATCCCCTCCGTGCATCATCAAATAACCAAAGGATACACCCCACAGGCCTGCCCACCCATGCATTCAGCAAACAGCTCCTCTCCTTCCCTGATCCCATGTCCCCAGACACTCCAAATGTCCATGCCATCTTGGTCCCCCCACCATTTTGGGTCTGGGCAGTTTCCAGGCCCCTCATCCACCCTGCAAGGTATTCCAGTTAGTTATAGGCTAGATACGGGCCTACATGTTTTCTGTTTTGAAGTTTCTGGCTGTTCCCCCCTCCCCCCCCCCCACCTCAAGTGTCTATTTCACAATGGTAGGCAAGGGAGACCAAAAATCAAAAGACAGCTAAGCATTCTAACATTATTCCCCTCTTTCCCCCCTTTCAAAGCTATGCCTCAATCCCTGTATCCTGAAGCTGTTATTCCAGGGTTGTGCATACCTCGTCATTTACCTTTGTCTCACCTGGCCCATGCGAACCTGCCCTACCATTCTCCCAACCGCCCTGTTGTTCTTTTTCCCATCCTCCTTCTTGTGTATTGCCAAACTTCCCCCACCCCATATTTATTTTGTAATAAGAAAAGTAGTTATTAGAAATGTCTCCTAAAGAATTTATTCCCTGTCAAACGAAATGTTTATAAGAAAGCAAAGGAAGGTGCTAGGGGTAAGAATGAAAACACCACTACCTATTTTTACTTGCTATTTTCAATTTTTGCACTATGCCTGGATCATCATTTATTTAGCTTTAAAAGTTTCACTTAAAAATTGTTTTAAACATATATGTTGCCATTAAACATTTTATTAACTTCCTAATAAACAAACAGGAGTTCTAGTGTGGCACTGTAGGATAAGCAACGGACTGCTAACTGCAAGGTCAGTAGTTAAAACCGACCAGCTACTCCTTAAAAACTCTTTATAATAGGACTTGATGGCACTTAACAACAATAATGTCCATTACAATAAACACAAAATTATTTTTAAAGAGACAGCTGTACCAACTATGTAAAATTATACTGCATATAATGCACATCGGGGGAAACACGAATTAAAATTCAGGAAAGATGGGAGGGGATGGTTTATGTGAAGGGGTAAGCTGAAAGTATGCCCATTGTTGTTAATGTGCCGTTGAGTCAGTTCCAACTCATACCTACCCTGTATAAGGTTTCCAAGGAGTGGCTAGTGAGTTTGAACTGCTGGCCTTGTGGTCCAAACCAACCTTGTAGTCCAGTGCTTTATCCAACAGAGCCACACCAGGACTTTAAGTATGCTCATCGTTGGAGAAAAAGCAGTCAGTAAGTATAGCTGATGGGGGGTATGGAGGCTCTGTACAATAATCCCTGGGTTACAAACCACAATGTTGCCGGTTTGAGCCTACCAGCTTATCTGTGGAAGAAAGATGAGGCTTTCTACTCCCTTAAGGAGCTCCTGTAGCGTAGTGGTCACGAATCGGGCACCTAACCTCAAGGTCAGCAATTCAAAGCTACCAGCTGTTCCGGGGGAGAAAGACGAGGCTTTCTGCTCCTATGAAGATGTGCAGCCTCAGAAACCCTGTGCAGGGTCACTATGAGTTGGGAC